GCAACATCCTACTTTATACAAAATACATAGCTATATAAGTACATTAGGTATACATCAATTATTTCAAATAGATATATAATAAATTTTTTTGTCCATATTACTCATTTAATGAATTATAAATATTTGTCATTTTTAAACTAAATAAATTTAATTAACAAGCATTTTTGTTTGCATATTTGAATGAAAATCAATGCATAAATGCATGCGTATTATAACATAATGAAATATAATTACATACATATAATTAATTTAATTTTAAATTTCGGGACGCAATTCATATGTAACTCAAAAAAACTCGGGTCRCAATTCATATGCATCCCAAAAAAACTCTTGCCGCAATCGGAAGAAATTTTTACCACGGGACGCAACTAGTAGCCACCCRGATATCTGATGAATAATCAAACCAACATGAGATTAAAATAATCAATCATTTATTTGTTCAGACTGCTTTTACTATCCCTCATAATCTTTAGCTTAATGATTGTATTATATTAAAATTGAGAATTAATCATTTAAAATTTTAAGATAACGCATATAATTTAAAATCAAATAATATAGGTACATACAYTAATACATTATAATATCAGGAACATATATTACCTGGATACGGCCATCTTTAGCAGCAGCTCCATCAGGAGTGATAGTTTTTACAAAAATACCAAGTTTTTCAAGACCTGTATCTGCACCAACACCCATTCCAATAATTGATAATCCAAGCCCTTCTGGACCYTTTAKTAAAATTACTTTCATCAAATCTAACCGTTCTACACGTTTTTCTAATTCATATTCAGCTGATGCAGCTACAGGATCTACATCTTCATTACGCCGATCATATTCACCCATTGAAAAAGTGCTATAAACCTAAATATAAATATATTTTATAACATGAAAATTAAAAAATTAATTATAATAGTTAATTAATACTTTGATAGGATCAGCACTAAATTTCACTTTCATATTTTGTTTGACTACAATATGAGATTCATCATCTGAATCACGTTCTGGTAGTCCTGGAACTTCCATCCAGAAATGACCATCTTCATAATAGTGAACACCGCCTTCTTCATATACCTAATGAATACATTAAATTTAAATATATTAGCATTCTAATCAACTTTTTAGCCATTAATTAATAAGTAAGACAATAATAATATTATGCTTTTTTATGCTCATAGAAAATAACAATAACTTAAATGAAAAATCATTTTAAAGTAATTAGTAATTTTGACATACCTATTTATTACTATTGATTTTATTTGTCAGTCCAATATATTTAAATTTTGTATTACTTACTTCTCTGGTGGGTTCTGGGATAAATTCTTTTGATTTATATAAATCACCATCTACTTCATATTCATCAAATTCAGCACTCCCGTTATTAGCGGATAATGTATCAGTTTTTGTTTCATAACTTTGCTCCCAAGAATCATCAACTTGAAAGTCTTCCATATTATAATTATCATGAGTTTCATTAATTTCTCGACTAAAATAATAATAAATTATTTTATTACCTGTAGTTTTTTATTATTATCATATTCACAAATAGGAAGGGGGTATAGGGGGTAAACTAGCATCCCCAAATATTTATGGTGTTGATGTATTAAAACCTCGACTTGAAAAAAAAACACCAAAAACAGCTGAGGAATCAGATTTCAGACTACCAGAGTATAATGAATATGTTAATCGACAATTGAATTKTGATAGAGTTTAAATCAAGTTATACAACATTATTTATTAATTCTACATTCTATGAAATCAGGTTAGTGGTCATATTATCATGTTCAGCAGTGACTCGATGCTTATATCACAGAGTCAGAGTAGTACTAATATTATTACAAATTTCAGAACACAGATTAGCGCTACAGTCACATGTCCACATCTAATTAGGACAAAAACCAATTTAAGATTTACAAATCACTAAGACCCGGAATTGTATGCATTTGCATATTTTTATTTAATAAATTAAAAAGTAGCTAGGTAGAGTCATTAATGTCAATAGTTAAGGTTAGGTAAGTTAACCTGATGTGTTGGTATGCAAAATTAAATGCTGCATATTTTTGCATATTAGGAACATTTTTCATTCTTATAGATATTTTAGAATTTTTCTAAATTATAATGCAAATTTATGAAATAATAGTATTAAGTTATTAATACTAATACTTAACGCTATGTCTTATGCAGTGTCGGGGCAAAGAGTAATTTCAAAGGTTTCTGGGATTTTTAAAATGTTAGGAGGTGGGTATTATGGATTGTATATATTTACACGCAAATACATGTGGGGTGGGTCATCTAGATGGGKGGTTGTCTTTAGAATATTTTTAGTTTGCCACGCCACTGGTCTTATGTAAAACCTGTGAATGGGAAAAGAAAAAAACTTTGCTAAAAACCGATGTGCATTTTTATTTGAAAAATTTATCCAAGTCTTTAGTAGTTAACTGTAACTCTCCAGGTAACTTAGAAATATTGTATTATAAAAATATACTATACATATGTTTTAATTGATTTTTGTTTACAAATTGTTATTTAGATRAGTGAATGTTCAAAATGCAACATACAATTAAATTAATTAAATACATCATACAAAATACAATTAAATAATATCAACTAGGAATTTAATACATTTTTATGTTCCATATTAATTATTTAGTGAATCATATACATTTTTAAACTAAATAAAAATAATAAAATGTATTTTTTTCACATATTTATGTATATTTGAATGAAAATCATTGCATATATGCTTGCATATTTCATACATTTTTAGTGCATATAATTCTGAGCCCTACAAATCAMTATTCTGTATTCACTTATCAGTTCCAAGTTCCAAGATTTATAAATATMAAATATAATCAAATGTATAAAACTATATAAGTAATTAATTGAACTTTTTCTCTGTATTATAACTAATATTAATAATACAATATTAATGAAAACTGAAATTTTCCGGTGGCACTCACATTACTAATTAGTTCTGCCAAGTGTTTAACGTTAAATTGTTATAACTTACAAAATGTTTTTGCTCAAAAAAGACAATATAACTAACTCATAATAATAATTTAAATTTAAATTTTTAGACAATGCAGAGCTTAAGCACTTTAATTTTTTTTTTTTAATGCAGTCGTGCCTATGATTATCATTAATAGATAATGCCAATGAAAAAAAAAATAGTAAATTAGAACAACATTTTTAAAGACAACTTAAGATTTTTTTAAGATAAAATTTTAGATACATCATTTTTCTTTTTTTCGCCCTATACAATTCTTTAAACAACTGTAATATTTAGAAATTTTTAAGTATTGAGTTTAGTTAGGTATATATATATATTATTTATAAAAATCAACATTAATCCAAAACAAATTGTTGTTAGAGAAACATGAACATATTTTATGTGACACTCTATTCAAATGTTCTATTATCAGTGGTGTATTGGAGGGTCTACGGCGTATACTCTACCACCAGTTTATTGATTTAGCGTATACCCTGTAAAAYTACTAGAGATACGGCAGGTATACACRCGTATACCCACATATACCTTCAAAAAATTGTTATTGAATTACCAATTGTCTTAGAGTTACCTCACGACCCACCATAAGTTAATTTTAGGTTCAGTAAGAAATTTTATTTTTGAGAGAGAGAGAGAGGATTAAGCTCCTAACCCCCATCTCCTCAATATAGGTCTATGTGCTGAGCATATACCCTAGAAAAAAATTACGAATACATCACTGTCTATTATATGTGCACTAATAATAAAACAATTAGTTCAATATTCTATAATAATATTAATTTGATATAAGAAATCTCAATACTTAAAATTTATTCTTATGATTTTTAACATTCCAATGAAAATAATAGAATGTTGGCAATAAGGCATGTAAATAATTGCCTAATTTAGATACTATAGAATTAAGGCTTTTATAAGTATAACCAAATATTTTTATCTTAATTAGGTCAATGTGGGCTATGCTTGATTATATGAAAGTTTTCAACAAAATTYAAAATTAGATATCTTCTAATAAAATTAAAAACTTATAACTAAACATATTGTATGCTAAAAAATTATCCAAAATGTATATGAATAGGTTAAAGTGACTCATAAAAAACAAACCTCTGATTATTGACATTATCATTAGATTCAATAGAAAGAACTTCACTCATCCAATCGGATGTATTCAGTTGATCATTATCAGAAGGTGATAGTAATTTTTTGATCTCTTTAGCTTCTTCATCAGACAAAAGATTATCTTGACTACTAAAAACATTATTTATGAAAATGAATGCAACAATGAATTCCATAAAATATTAACAC